GCCATGGCCCCTAGATCATTTACCTGCATGTATTAGATGCCCTGGATTGCGTGTCAGCCGATTCCCTGACCCAGAAAACAGCATGAGCCCTACCACCTGATCATGACTCTTTAGGAACTTGGCTCTCACACTGGTAGCTTAATACCCCTGCCCCTTTGCCCTCCCAATCCCGACTATTAGTATTAGTATTAATAGTAATATTAGCATTAGTATTCAACCGATGGGACTTCACTGACTCTGGAGCCTGGGTGGCTTGGAAGAGGCCACCTTGTATGAAGTCTCATAGAAAGCCTGTTCTCAGACAAGTCTGAGCTTGGTTTTATCTCTTCCTCTTAAATCCTCACAATGACTATTTTAGGTAAGTGATGTGATTTGCACATTTACACATGAGAATGTGAGAATTCTAAAACAGTATTCATATAACTAATAAGTGGTAGTCCCAGAACTTGAACCTGGGCTGTGGGGCTTTTCCTATGTCATTATGTTCTTTCTGTTGCATACGTCTGTGGAGACAAGGGGCAGATGCCTCCATACCCACCTCCTCTACCCCAAGGTGCTTGATGGTTGCCTCCCTAATACAAAGCACAGACTACATACACAGAAAATTAACAGTGAAGGTCCCAATTCTTAGGAAATTGGCTTTGATATGGATTAAATTACAATACAGCAACAAACTAATTAATAATGTAAGGGTGCATGAGTGCTAGAACAAAAATTGGTAAGCTTATGAATCATAGGCAATATTTCTGTCCTTCTTTTGTCTGAAAGCTGGCCCTTCCCCTCCTTTTTCAGTCCTTCATTCTCTCTTCTCATTTTAGCTATTGCTCGTTAATGTGGTCAATAGACGCCCTCCTTGTATCTGGAAGTACAGCCCTGAATGAGACTAGATCCCCTTTCTTGGGACTTCATTTTCCAGTAGGAAATGTGACCACACACACTGGTCATCTGGTCACAAGTGAGAGGAAAAAGTAAAGCAAGGAAGACGAGAGGACTACTAGTCCATGTAGGCTCACCAGGGGAGGGTTTCTGCTAAGGTGGTATTGGAGCCGACCCAAGAAGGAAGAAAGAGAGGAAACCAAGAGGACACAGCCTGGGGTACCCCAGGTGGAGGGACAGATAGCCAAGGCCAGGAGCATGGGTGGTACCCCGTGGGGCAGCAAGAGAGAGAGAGAGAGAAAGAGAGAGAGATGGGCATATGTGAGAGACTCAGGGGCTGCATGGTGGTACATGCCAGCCACCTGATAGCAGAGTGCCTGTTCAAGTCTCCCCTACAGCTCTTCTGATCCAACACCCCACTAATGCATATAGGAAAGTAGCTGATGGTGGCCTAAGTATTGGGGCCCTGCTATCCTTGTGAAAGACCTAGATTCTGCTTCTGGCTTTGAACTGGCCTAGACCTGGCTCTTGCAGCCATTTGGGGAGTAAAGCAGTAGAAGATACTGCGCGCGCTCTCTCTCTCTCTGTCTTTCAAATAAATGAAATCTCTTTTAAAAAGAAAAAAGGAAAGACTTGATCTCCAGATGTCTAACCAGACACCTTCTGGGACCCACAGCATTTGAGATAAGGAGCCCACTGCGCCTGTTTTCCCAGGAGATTCTCCTTTCCCTTCCTGAATTCCTTCTGTTCTGGTTTAAACTGCATTTCCCCAGCCCAATGGATTTGGGAACAGTTGAAGGAGAGGAGTGACAATCCTAGAAACAAAATGTGGCCCTGGGGGGTCTCTGCCCTAACAAAGAATGGCCACGACCTACATCTTTTCTTTCAAATTTTTTATTCTTTGAGAGTCAGAGAGAGCGAGCATCCACTGGTTCACATCACACATGCCTGCAATGACCCCAGGGTGCGGGATGTGTGGGAGTGGGGTCCAAAGCCAGGAGCTGGTTACTTCGTTCCAGGCTCCCTGTGAGTGGCTGAATGAGCCATCGTGTCTACCTCCCAGGATCCACATCAGCAGAAAGCAGGAGTGGGGAACCCAAGCCAGGGACTCCAACATGCGATGCAAGCACCTTACCAGGTGTCTTAATGGCTAAGCCCAAAGCCTGCCTCCCCTGCCTACTTCTGTAAATACCATTTGACTGGAACACAGCCACGCTCATTCATCTTGCCGATGGCTGCTTCCACAGCACTCCAGGGAAGAGGAGTTGTGACAGCGACCAGATGGCCCATGGAGCTGCAAACATTTACTATCCAGCTCTTGACAGGAGTTTGCCAAGCTCTGTGCTAGATTTAGATAAAGGCAACCCTCACAAAGTGGGTAGGATTAGAAACACCACAGCAAAAATAACCAAGTCAGTCAACCCATCTACCGTGGATTGACGGTATTAAAGCTGTAGTTAAAAAAATCATAATAAAAGGGGACAGGAAAATGGTTGATGTGACAGTCTCCCACCTACAGCTGCTTTTCAGATAATGCTCCTCCAACCAGGTCTATCAAGAGCTTAGGTGACAAAGAGAGCAGGAGAAACAGGGAGGCAGAAGTAAATAGTGAAATGTGACTGCAGCTTTAACTTTTTTTCAGCTTCTGGGATGCATTTTCCTTCCTTTTATAGATAAAGAATTTGACACAGAGCTGTTATCTGTACAAGGTTACATAGCTGGTACGTGCTGAGGCTGGACTTGAATTCAGGACTTTGAATTCTTAACCCAGAATCTTGACTGTGAAACTCAACAGTGAAGGGTTTTCTCTTATCAAGAATAAATAAGGAATTCAACTCGGTCATGAAGAAAACCACAAAGAACCCAATTTAAAAACAGGTAGTAGACCTAAATAGATGTGTTTTTTTTTTTTCAAAGGAAAACACAGAATTGGCCAAAGGGTATGTGGCAAAGTGCTCCAGATCGCTCATCATCAGGGAAATACGAATCTCCATGGAGTATCCCTTCACTGCAGTCAGATTGTTTATGGCTGGAAAGACCACAAGGAATGCTAGAGAAAGCATGGAGAAAAGGAACCCCTGGAGCCTGCTAGATTCGTTGATCACCAGGGAAGGATGCATCAGCCCAGGACAGAGAATTCAGATGGCCTTTGTTCCAGGGAATCGCAGGACCGGGCTTCCCTCCCCTGTACAGTGGAAAGGCAAAGACGAAGGAGAGAGCTGCAAAGGAAAGAAAAGCCAAGAAGAGACGTGCAAGGGAGCTTTAAAACCCCTTAACATGGAAGCAGAAGGAGGCGTCACTTCGACCCTTATCTGGTGGAGAATATTGGTTTGTGTCCATCATTACTGCAGCACTGACCCCGATACTTGAGGGGTGCCAGAATTTGAATCACTGTCACTTCTGGGTTATAGCTTGAGACCAGCTCAAAGCATGCTCGGCCCTCTTCTGGTCACCGTGGCAACAACCACCAGTGCCCAGTTAGTGGTATCATGAATTAGTATAGCAACTGTGCAAGATGGTATGCTGGTTTTTCAAAAAACTAGAACCAGGCCTGGTGCTGTAGCCTAGCAGCTAAAGTCTTTACCTTGCATGCACCAGAATCCCATGTGGGCATTGGTTCTAATCCTGGCAGCCCTGCTTCCCATCCAGCTCCCTGCCAGCAGCCTGGAAAAGCAGTCCCTGACACCGACATGGGAGACCCAGAGGAAGCTCCTGGTTCCTTGTTTCAACCTGGCCCAGTCTTGCCCATTGCAGTCATTTGGAGGAGTGAACCAGCAGATAGAAGATGCTGTCTCTTTGTAACTCATTCTTTCACTTGATCTTAGTGATATAACTCTGCCTTAAAAAAATCATTTTCGTTGTCTGAGCCCACATCATAGAAAAAACATTTAAACCCTGACCAGTGTGTCTGATTTCTCCTTCCGTATAGTGCCTGGAGAGCTGCAGGATCCTGACGCTGCCAGCTCTGTAGTTGACAAGTTCGAAGCTACCTGGAAGACAGTGGTTGGGAACAGGTGAGCAGGTCCCTGGAAAACACCTGGTTGTCCTTTTCAGAGTGAATTGGAGAGGAATTTGTTCTCTAGTTGACAGCACCTTTGCCCTAGAAGTCAAAATATCTCCCCAAAGCTTTGGTTTACTCTGGCCTGCTTTAGCATTGAGAGTTGCAGACTCATTTAAATATATATATATATTTATATGTAACATATATTGTCTATTATAAATAATATGCAGTTATATATTCTACATTACATGTAAATATACTATATATTTATATATTAGAAATGTGTGTTTATGTATTTATATGTGTGTATATGTACATGTATGTATATCTAAGTGGTCAACTGCCAGTCTGCATCCCAGGACCTCAGTCTGCCCCGTGGGGGTCAGACATTTAACTCCATCCCAGAGGTTCCTTCGCGGCTGCAGAGCAGCGTCTGAGCGTGGGCACTGGCAACCGTGTCATTTCATGAGTGAGTCAGGCCTGAGCTGGAGGAAAATAACATCTTTACAATCAACACCAGGGGAGAGGCAATTAAGGATCCTACTGAGTGTCTTGTTTCACTTGGAGGATCTATTCCTGAAGAGGGAGAGGGTGACTCATCAGATGGCTGTAACCTGATGAAACAGGGCTATCCAATTTCCTGGCTTGCTCGGATTCCAGGCAGCCAAACCATCTTCATTTGCTTTCCCAAGGCGCCTCCCCCAGGCTAAGGGAGGGGACAGAACCTCCCACACAACCCCCCAGTTCCCAGGCTACATTAGCAATTGGAAATCAAGGTTCTTTTGTGGGAGCAAAATTAGATCACAGATGAGAAATGATTGAAATGACATGAAGTGCTTTCCAGCGGAGGCCGCATCATCTCCAGCAGTCCCGCTGATATTGGCTGTGAGTCATTCTCCGCTGATTGGGTTCACCTCACCCGGGTACCGTTCTGTTGTTTTCCAGTGCTGGTAAAATCACGATTTGATAAAAGTAGAAATTATGGACCTGCGAAGCTGGCTAGAAGGGACAGTTGCTGACACTGATGTGCTGTGCTGGGTACAAGGGGCTGTCACGCTCAGCACAGCTGTAGTTGTGGGCAAGAGGGAACGTTATGCCCCACCCTCCACCCCAGGTCCATAGTTCAGGGAGGATCGGGAATATCCCAGAACCCAGGAGGGCTTGGCCTGGGGGTCAGACCCAAGCATTCAACTCCAAACCCAGTTCGCAGTGTTGCTGCTTTTCAGATGCCCAGTGGGATACCTGAGGACTTGATCCAAAGTAGAAGTGGGAAAAGAAACCCAGGTGCCCTTCTGGCCCTGAGACCTCGGGCTGTTTGTCTTCTGCCTTCAGATGCTGCTAGAAGCGCACAGGGTCTTTCTGGATTGATTTCAACTTCTCTTGGTCTCACGTGGCAACTTCTTACTGTTCCCTGCCACAGGTGTAGAAAACTCACATTCTGCTTAGCTGTGGTCTCCCGGGGTCCGACAGACCCTCTGAGTCCTGCTCCTTTCTTCTTTTCTTCAGTCTGAATGCCCCTGCCAAGCATGACTGCCTCCCCGGCCCCCACCCCTTACTGGGATGGCTCCCCTACAATGGCCCTGCTGGTCCTGCCCCACCCTTGGGCTCCAGCTCAGCCACTGAAGCTGCAGCTCTCCGGTTACCCAGAGGGGAGGGAGGGCAGGCAGGCAGGCATCTGGGTTGCAGGACCTCCATGCCATGGGCAGTGCATGCCCAAGCTCTCCATCTCACACTGAGACTGTGGCAGCGTGGGCTATTTGTGCCGAGCCCTTTGTGTTTCAGAGAGGGACGTAGAAGACCTCACTGCCGGCCTGGCACTTCATAGAGACTCAGGAAAAAGGGATGAGCTGGCTCTATTCCTGCATCTCTTTTTGCTCGATTTACCTGGCAGCTTCCAGACTGAAAGGTGAGGGGGGTAGAGGTGGGTATGTGTGGTCAATTCTTTGATGGGGCAGGAGACAGAAGAAATTATCTAAGTGCATGGAAGTGGTCCCTGCCCCACCCTGACTTGTCCTGCTCCAGATGGAATGTGCCAGGAAGACAGCACCTCCATTGAGCCATGCTTAGGCCCTCGCTGGGTGGGGCTGGGCCGTCTCCAGTCTTAGATCGTCCGAGGTTGCTCTTCAGTGTTGACTGCATCCTTCTCTCTGAGCAGCTGTAGAGACGGCAGATGGAAAATACGCACAGAAGTTGTTTAATGACCTTTTTGAAGATTATTCCAATGCCCTCCGCCCAGTGGAGGATACAGATACAGTCCTGAATGTGACGCTGCAGATCACACTGTCTCAGATCAAGGACATGGTGAGTGGCCAACAGTGAGCACGCTTTGGAGTGCTGCCTCGAGGGGAGACAGCCGGGCCCTTTGACAGGACTGTCACGAGCCAGGATTCGGAGGGAAGGAGAGTAGACAGCCAGCAGGAGGAGAACTCCAGCTTCTGCAGAATTTAGTTCCCTAAGGGTTACCTAATCCTGGTCAGTCTTATGCAATCTAAAGAAAGGTGGTGCTCCATGCTATATAAGTTCATTGACGTGAAATGCTCCTGATGGGTAAATCAGGACAGAGAGTGAAATGGTTACAGGAAGACAGAGGGCAAGAAGGAAGAAATGGTCAGTGACCTCTACCAGTATGGCTCACTTTCAGGGTTGCTGAACATGTCCTTAAATCAGACAATGGCAAGGGTTACACTCGATTGTCAGTTTCTTAGAAGCTGCTGGATTTTACACTTTAAAAAAAGATTTATTATTATTATTTTTTATTGGAAAGGCAGGTATACAGAGAGGGAGAGACAGAGAGGAAGCTGGTTCACTCCTCCAGTAGCTGCAATGCCTGGAGCTGAACCAATCTGAAGCCAGGAGCCAGGAGCCTCTTCCTGGCCTCCCACATGGGTACAGGGTCACAAGTCTTTGGGATATCCTTGACTGCTTTCCCAGGCCACAAGCAGGGAGCTGGATAGGAAATGGAGCAGCCAGGATTAGAATCGGTGCCCAGGGCCCGGCGGCGTGGCCTCAGCTCAAGTCCTCGCCTTGAATGTACCGGGATCCCATATGGGTGCCAGTTCTAATCTCAGCAGCTCCACTTCCCATCCAGCTCCCCGCTTGTGGCCTGGGAAAGCAGTCGAGGATGGCCCAAAGCCTTGGGACCCTGCACCCGTGTGGGAGACCCGGGAAGAGATTCCTGGTTCCCAACTTCAGATCGGCGCAGCACCGGCCATTGCAATCACTTGGAGAGTGAATCATCGGATGGAAGATCTTCCTCTCTGTCTCTCCTCCTCTCTGTATATCTGACTTTGTAATAAAAATAACTGAATATTAAAAAAAAAAAAAAGAATTGGTGCCCAGATGGGATCCTGGTGTGTGCAAGGCGAGAACTTTAGCCTCTAGGCTACCACACCAGGCCCTGGATTTTACACTTCTAAAGTGGTTAATGTAATGAATTTTATGTCACAAGAATCTAATCCCAATTTTTTAGGTTTTTATCAAAGATGACAGGTGGTGTTTTAAAGATGGCAACTCATTTAGTGGCTTCATGTACTTAATTATACGAAGGTAAGGATCACAGATTTTTCTTCTGTCCAGAACTTGCCTGACTTTCTCATTCAAGTGTATCATTCATGGACAATTGATCTGTGCTAAGTTCTGAAGACAAACACTTGTCTGCTTCCTGTTCTGAACACTAATGAAGGACAACAAGACGTGGTGTTGGTAGCCAATTGAAGGGATCAAATGAAAAAGCTCTCACTTACTGAGGATGGATGTTCTTGACATTCCTGTTACGAAGCTAGCAGGCATTTGGCTGGGATAGCTCCTGGGTAAATTAACCTCTGAGTTCATTGTATAGGATGAAAGAAACCAAATTCTGACCGCCTACCTATGGATTCGCCAAACCTGGCATGACGCGTATCTCACGTGGGATCGAGACCAGTATGATGGATTGGATTCCATCAGGATTCCCAGCGATCTCGTGTGGAGGCCAGACATTGTCCTGTATAACAAGTAAGTGCCTTTCCAGGAATGGACTTGCTGATTTGACAGAACTGAAACCTAACGAAGAAGAACTCTTTAAAATAGTCGTGAAGCTGATTATGAAGCCCTTCTCACAGACCTTGAAATAAACTTTATCAAGTCTGGGGTAACATAAAAGCCAAACTCAAGCTGCTGTCTCCTCTTTCGGGCAAATTTGCTAGGGCTTGAGTTCGTTAGGCTGTTATATCAAAGCATTGTGGACTGGGAGACCCTCAGAAATGTTACTTATTTATTATTTATTTTCATTATATTTGAAAGGCAGAGAACAGACAACCTTCATCCAGGAGGGGATGACCTGTGGGCTTTTTGTGGAGTGGAGCACACATTCTGTTGGGGCACCCAAGCTGGCCCTTTGCTGGCCTTGTGTAAACGGTCACATGCCCAGGAATCCCCTGGGACCTTGCTGGCCAGCACCTGCTTCAGGTCTGAGGCCCACACCCAGAGCTATCTGCCCCAAGCTCCAGCCCTGGGCTAGGCTGGAAGGAGGAACCAGGTCTCCCTGTCACAGTTGGAGCTCTGTTTCTGTGCCTGTTGCCCAGTGAGCTTCTCCATAGAAGTTTCCCTGAGTAGGGGAAACCCTTCTGGGGCTCAGAACCATGTGAAAGTGGGGCACCTCTGGGGGCTCCCCTGGTGGAGCCTTCCTGCTCCCTTGTGGTGAGCCACACCCTGCCTTTTAGTTTCACTCCTGACTTGGAGAGTTCAGCTACGGGTCATGACCTGTAGAACCATAGCCCTGATCCTGCTGTCCGTCCCTCAGCTTGAGGGCCACAAGAAGCTTCCATGCTCTGTCTGACATGAGACAGCATGCAAGAACTGGTACTTTCTTCTGTAGTTCACCTTCCTGTGCATGTGCTCTCCTTGTCTCTCACATACACACAGCACAAGAAAATAAACCACCATTCTCACCATTCTTGCTTCACCATTCTCTTACACGGAGCACACAGTTGACATAGGTGATCACTGATAGCCTTCTGTAAGTTTGTTTTTCTTAAGATTTATTCATTTTTATTGGAACGTCAGATAGAGAAGAAGAGATACAAAGATCTTCTGTCTACTGATTCACTTCCTAGGTAGCCCGCAATGGCTGGAGCTGAGCCAGTCCAAAGCCAGGAATTTCCTCCAGGTCTCCCATGCAGGGTCCCAAGGCTTTGGCCCATCCTCAACTGCTTTCCCAGGCCACAAGCTGGATGGGAAGTGAAGCCACTGGGATTAGAACTGGCTTCCATATGGAATCTTGGTGAATGCAAGGCGAGGACTTTAGTCACTAGGCTACTGAGCTGGGTCCAATCTTCTATAAATTCTAACAACTCCATAGTTCTCCTTCCCACTCTGTCCAAGGCAAGCTTGGATGGTAATCTAAGTAGAACCCATCCAGAGTGCCAATCTTCCTGCCACCCTCTCCCAGCTTAGAGGTGCCAATTTCGTATCATTGACCTCTCACAAACCTCCCATGGCTCTGGTCAATTCTGTCCTCACTCTCTGGCCACCCCCCAGATTACCAGCCTTGAGCTGTTGTGTGGGTTCTGCTCGCACCTCTTTCTCAACAAAGCACCTTTTCACCCTGTGGATGAATCCACCCCTCTCGGCTGCCTCCAGGCCTCCTTGTCCTCCAGACAGAGACAATTCTATTTCTGGTTTGCAGCTCTCTTTGCCCTCTCGTTCTCAATGAAATGTCTCACAGTGTTCCTATTTAGAGAAGCTCTAAGTGTGGCTGTGGCTTGGATGATATTTGCATACTTTTAGCCAACTGGAATAAAAATAGAGGAGCATTCTAGGACCCTAGTCAGGGTTGTTCCCCCTGACCATGATCCTCTGGCAGAATCCCTGGCTCTGCAGACAGTCCTGAGGACAGATACAGTGTTGCTACTTCTCAGAAACTGGTTCCGAACATTGTGAACCACAAACTGTTCTTGAGTGGTGATGGGGGTGGAGTGATGGGGTGGAGGGAGTTAAGCATGGGGTGATTCAGCCTGGTGCGACCAGGGTACTTGGCATCTAGAGTCACTCTTGGTGCCTGAGACCATGGTGCCGGACATGTCAGAGGTGGGCAAGCGAGATGGTGCGCTTGGAAGGCATGTCATAGGAGGAACAGTTGAGTTTGTTGATGCTTGGTTCTGAAGAGAGGGTCTTAGATCTACCTTAGCAATCGTGGGAAAGAACTCCAGAGGGAAGAAGCTGCAGCTAAACAGCAGATAAGTTCTACTTAGAAGAGGACAAATTCCCTAATAAATTTAGTCATGAATCTCCCTAAGATATAATGAACTCTTTAGCAATATAATATTTCAAGTAGATATTAAACATTAAACTCCCAGCAAACTGGTAAAGGAATAAATGAATTGGGCTTGAACTGCTGGTATGGGCTTAGTATCGGCAAGTATGTGGTTAGTACAGTATTTAAAATAAAAGGCTGCAAGGATTTCTGACATTTTCAAATTGCATAAAAAAGTTGACCACAGAAATTTCAAGTGATTAGGGGAGAGTTATGAATTTTAATGGGCAGTTTTAATGGGAAAATTTAATGGACAACAAAATTTAATGGTTGATATTTAGACCTCAGGAGGAACTGGATGCCCTATGGAATTAGATTTTTGTGTAGAAGTCAGCTTTAAGGTGGCTTTCCTAGTTACAGGTGGTGATGGGGAGAATGACAAGACTCCCCATTGGGCTGAGGTAAAGGGGAGTGGGGAGGAGCAGATCTGGAGGGAGAGGGTCTGTCGGTCTAGTTTGGGAAACGCAAGGTGCATATGCCTGGAGCTGCCCCACCATGAAGCTGCGAAGGCACAACTTGAGCCCAGAAAATTAGGTCAGTGCTGGAGGCATCCAGAGCCTTCCCAGACCCTTGCAGAGCTGGTCAAGGAAAGGAAGAAAATGACTGAGGATCATATTGGGGGTAGTCTCTGTGATGTGAGAAATTTATGGGGCAAAGAAAGAAGAAATGGTTAGAGACCGAGAACTGAAGCAGAGCTACACCATGGGGAAGAAGGGGTGTGAGGAACAACCCAGAGCGGCCGCGGTGGCCAAGATAACCCCTTAGAAGGCAGAGGCTGGGGACAGAAAGAAGAAGGGACTGAAGGATTGAGGAAGCTGCCAAGTCTGCGCTGAAAGGCCAGGTGCTTCCCAGGGACTGAAAAACAAAATCCTGGCTGGCTCTTGCTTACCAGGCTGCTGCTCCCCAATTTCCAAGAATGGGCTGACGCTTTTTGTTATTTTTATTTATTTTTCTGATCTGAAAGGTAGAGAGATGGACGGGCACACCCTGGTTTTAAGATTTCTACCCTCTAGATCTATTATGATGCTAAATGGTGGTGCTGGCATCCCACACGTGTGCCAGGACAAATCCCAGCTGTGCCACTTCCCAGCTAACACGTCTGGGAAAGCAGTGGATGATGGTTCAAGTGCATAGGCCTTTGTAACTCACAGGAAAGATCTACCCAGCCCCCAGTCGTTGCGGCCATCTGAGGATGTCCCTCTGTCTCCTTCACTCTGTAACTGTGCCTTTCCAAAGAAAACACCTCTTTTTTTTTTCTTTTTTTCAGAAAGAGCTGAGGGGGGGGGGGGTAAAACCATAAAATACTAGTCATTAAATGATTGAATAAAAGTGTCTTTACTCCTAGTCAGCTAAGGTGATATCTTTAGTGGATATCTTTGGCCTCTGGTTGAGTTTGGCCAATGGGTTCTTGCTGGGTGATAAAACAGAGAGAGAATAGGTATATAAGCCCTTGCTTCTTCCCTATAGAGTTATCTGTGGCTCTAAAGAAAGTCATGGTTTCTGCCACAGAGTCACTCTTCACGCAATACGCTCCTCCCAGCTCGTAGCAACTACACCTTCCCTTCACCTCCTCGGACCTCGAATGACAGCAGCTCAGCCGGGCCTAGGTGGCTGTGGTTGTTCCTCATCTGACACTTCTGCAAATCACCCCTTTAATAAACCTGCCTAAAATGACGTAGTTTCAGCGGATTGTACATTAGCTACAGGGGTCTGGGTGAACGCCGTTGTTCTAGTCCAGATAGGTCCTCCCTGGTCCCCAGATTTCTGCTCTCACTCAAGGCAGTTTGATGGGTGAGTGTTTTCCACTCATACATAAGAGGTCTTCAAAAAGCTTATATAAGGCCAGTGTAGATGATGCAAAACTGAATTTCAAAAACTGTTTGTATCAAAACAAATTTATCTTTTACTTCCATTTTTTTCCACGAATGTTTTGAAGTTCCCATGGGTACCTTTCACCCCTCATATAGCTAATGATACATATTTCTTATTGCAATAGGGGACAGGTTCAGGCACTTTCAAGAAATTCATTTTTTTTAAATCTTCACAAAGACCCACATAAGTGCTGGCACTGTGGCATAACAAGTTAAGCCACTGCTTATGATGCTGGTTTCCCATATTGGAGGACTGGTTCCAGTTCTGTTCTGCTTCTGATCCAGCTCCCTGCTAATGTGTCTAGGAGAGCAGTGGTGGATGGCTCCAGTGCTTGGGCCTCTGCATCATGTGGGAGACAGCGATGGAGTTCTGGACTCTGAAACCACTGTGGTCCTTTGGAGAGTGAACTATCAGACAGCAGTTTTTGCTTTTGCTCTCCATCTCTCTCCAACTCTCCCTCTGTCTCTATGTAATTCTGCCTTTCAAATAAATAAACATTTTTAAAAGAAAGAAAAATCCCATTGGAGTATGGAGTTGACCCAATCAGGTGGTTGTAGCTAACAGTTTTGGTGCCAATTTAAAAAATTTAAAATCATTTTTAAAAAAATGCCTGTTTGACCCAATACATCATCTTAAGTAAGGAGTTAGTGAATACATGTAAAAATTCAGTGACAGAAATGTTTCCTGAAGAATTCTTTATACATAGGAAATTGAACCCAACCATGATGCGAAACATGGGTAGGTTAGTTAAATAAGGATGGTGCATTTACGTTGTGGAATATCGTACAATACTGTTCACCCGTGAAGCAGGGAATGTTGTAGAAGACTATGAACAGTTGACCAGGTTAAAAAATATTGTTCTGGTTTGATTTGGTTTTGGTAAATGAGCTTTTTAAATTTGGGGATAATTTTAGATTTTCAAAACATGTGGGAAAACAGTGCAGAGTTCCTGTAAAGCTGTCACCTCACTTCCCCTAACGTTATACCTTACACAACCGGGGGTGCCTTTGTCAAGATTCTTGCAGTGTGATTAACTAAACTACAGACTCGATTTGGATTTCACCAGCTGAAGGAAAACAAGCATTTTTTTTCCACCAGCACATTTTTTTCTGCTCCAAGATCCAGCCTAGGATATCACATTTCCTTTAGCCAAAATATGTTTTGTGGGGAAAGAAAATGTAAGCAAGTGGAAGGATAAGCATCCAAGTGTGAACAGGAACATAACAGCATCAGACCGAAATTGACTTTGAGTACTTGGTGGCAGAAAGAAACCTGTTAGAAAAATGTGGTGCATCTTAGTAAGTGAAAGAAGTCAGTAGCCAGACTTTAGAAAAGACAGGACCCAGACAGCTCTAGTGATGGAGATAGCAGGCACTATTGAGCTACTTTTGTATAACAGGGAGACATCGCCAAGGTGTCTGGTTTTTTTTTTTTTTTTGGTCTTTATGTCACTCTGCCTAAGATCTGAACTCTGGCATGTGTGACTGAGTTAAGCCTGTCCTGTACCACACGGAGAGCCCTGAACTGGCAGGAGCACCCTGATCTGCTTTGCTGGGGATAAACAAAGAGTAATTCCCTAAAGGGAAACAGAACTTCTGTATCCAAGACACTGGGTATAAATAAGGCACTGGAAGATGCATCCAGAATAAGTGAACATCTCTGAGGTTGTGGGTGAGTAACTTCTATCTGGTTTACACAAGCAACAAAAAGCTATTTTAATATTCCTGTGCCTAAATGGAACAAACTCAGCTAAGCAGATGCTAGCTATGACAGGCTTACTTTTTTCCTCTGGATGTTCAAATGGCACCGGCAATGGACAGCAAAGACCGTGGGGGCAGAGACACAGCAAAGGAAGAAAGCAAGAGAACTTGGCCTTGCCTGGCTACTGGTCAAGGAGACAGAGGAAGTCATTTGTTTTTGTTTTGAGATTTATTTATTTATTTTAAAAGGCAGAGCAATAGAGGAAGAGAGGGGTTAAAAAAATCTCACACCTTCTGGTTCAGCCTGGAAATAGTCACAGCAGTCACTATAATCCAGGCTGAAGCCAGTAACCTGGAGCTCCCCCTCGACCTCCCCCATGGGTGACAGGGACCCAAACCATTGGGCCATCTTCCCCCATCATCCCAGGTGCACTAGTAGGGAGCTGGTTGGGCAGCAGAGTGATTTTGCTATGGCATACTATGTCAGCGCCACAAGTGATGCCATAGCAGCAGCCACAAGATGGAAGAGCTATTCCCAAACTCTCAAACCAGAACAACCAGGAAGTTGGTGGTGATGCATTGCCAATGACACTCAAGTGCTGGGCAAGGGAAGGGAGCACGGCCTTCCAGGTAAGGAAGCAGGTGAGTGCTCCCCCCCGCATCCTTACTCCTCTGCCCTGCAGAGCCGATGACGAGTCTTCAGAGCCTGTAAACACCAACGTGGTCCTGCGCTATGATGGGCTCATCACCTGGGACTCACCCGCCATCACCAAGAGCTCCTGCGTGGTAGATGTCACCTACTTCCCCTTCGACAACCAGCAGTGCAACCTGACCTTCGGTTCCTGGACCTACAACGGCAACCAGGTGGACCTCTTTAACGCCCTGGACAGCGGGGATCTCTCCGACTTTATCGAAGATGTCGAATGGGAGGTCCATGGTATGCCCGCTGTCAAGAATGTCATCTCCTACGGCTGCTGCTCAGAGCCTTACCCGGATGTGACCTTTACCCTCCTGCTAAAGAGGAGGTCCTCTTTCTACATCGTCAACCTCCTCATCCCCTGTGTCCTCATCTCTTTCCTGGCACCCCTGAGTTTTTACCTGCCGGCAGCCTCGGGGGAGAAGGTCTCCTTGGGAGTGACCATCCTATTGGCCATGACTGTATTCCAGCTGATGGTGGCTGAGATCATGCCGGCGTCCGAAAATGTGCCTCTGATTGGTGAGTTTCAACCTCTTGCTGAACTTGAAAACCTATCATGGTAGTGACTAGAACTGTGTGTGCTTTTAATTGAAAAAAAAAAAAGTTATTTGAGAGACAGAATTAGAGGCAGGGACAAACTCAATAGATACATAAAGAGGGGGGATTTGAAAACTTGTAACAGTTGGACCAACTTCCAACTCAGACTGTCATATAATTCACTTAGTGTGTGGCTGTCATCTCCTAGTGTAGCTATGGTTGTGAGAATCAACTCCGGTCTGTGGTCTCTGGGTTTATACAGAGGGGCAGGGAGATGCAGCCATTTAGAGCAGTGGTTCTTACAGTGGCGGTCACTGACATCAGAACTTCAGCACCACTGGGGAATTCATTTCCTTCCTTGATACCTCCTTCTCTTGAATATTTGCTTCATACAGCCACATTTCAAAGACTGATAGTGACACAGTCCCCTTTCTCAGCCAAAAGTAATTAATTTTCTTGTTAATGAGGTCTGGAAACAACTCTGACAACTGGTCAACATGATTATGTGTCAAGAATGGAAAGTTTTTTCCATATCATGGTCTCAAGCAAATATTTACAAACCTTTTAACCTGGATCCAGAGATGGTCCAGAGAACTTTAAATGAATCATCTCATCACAGTCCTGTGAGTCAGACACTACTATCACACCTATTTTATGAAGCAGGAAGCTGAGGCTTGGCAGGGTAGTGTATACTTTGCTCCAAGTCACAGGCCTAGTGGGTGGCCAAGCTGGCATTTGAACGCAGGAAGTCTGATTTAAAAGTTGATGCCAATTAATGACCAGAGTGTCCTAGTTTCATAGAAGAGGTTTTCTGAACAGCTGCCAGGCTAAGTTGGTTATTGTTATCTCAACTCCAGGCAAGTACTACATAGCCACCATGGCCTTGATCACGGCCTCCACCGCCTTGACCATCATGGTGATGAACATCCACTTCTGCGGGGCGGAGGCTCGGCCGGTGCCTCCCTGGGCCAGGGTGGTCATCTTGAAATACATGTCCAGGATCTTATTTGTCTACGATGTGGGTGAAAGCTGCCTTAGCCCGCACCAGGACAAGGAGCAGGGCCCCCACCTCACCAAGGTTTATGACAAACTCCCAGAGTCTAAGCCGCAGACACTCAGGAACAAAGCCCTTTCCAGAAAGAAGGAAATGAACAAACTCATAACGAATGACCTGGGGGGCCAGGCGCACAGCACCGTGGGTGCCGATGGTGACTGTGTCCGGTACAAATCCCTAACGAGGAATATCGAGTACATCGCCAAGTGCCTCAAGGACCACAAGGCCACCAACTCCAAGGGCAGTGAGTGGAAGAAGGTTGCGAAAGTCATCGATCGTTTTTTCATGTGGATTTTTTTCATTATGGTATTTGTGATGACTATTTTAATCATAGCGAGAGCAGATTAGTGGCCATTTGACATGTGAGGACATATTCATAAATTACCTTGTGATCTACTCCAAGCTTCTTCTAAGCCAGACTTTTGCTCATATATAATCCAGTGGTTAGATTGTCTGTGATTTTTATTTTTAACTTCAAATAAATATCATAGCAGCTTGTCAGTTTCAATTAAGCAGGAGATCTAAAATTTCAAGGGCAGAAAGATGGAAGAAAATAACAAAGTACATCATATTGCTCTTTTAAGTTTAAAGCAAAAATGAAAAAGGGAAACAAACTCATTTTCTCCTTAGTCCCTATTAAAATATCCTATAAGAAAAGGAGATTAGTCATGTATACCTTAATGTGATTTAAGGCATGGTGGTGACTTCTCTAGGAATGGTGCAGTTCAAATCAGTTTTCAAATGGCGGAATAAAAGGCTTTGTCCCAGGTAAATACATTTTAAGAGTTAGAGGTGACATGGGGAAAGATAACTTTTCTTCATAACAGTCACATCTTACATGTAGGTTGTATTTTCTATAACCCCTAAAGATGTGGCCATTCCTGCAATGAGCGTTTGAGTAAAACATGGTAGTCAGCAAGCTGGGCTCATTGGCTTGTTTGTTCAGCTAGTCATCAAATGTTGTTTCTAATGTAACGAAGTGATAGAACACACATTTACACTGGGTGTCAGCACAACTAGGGCACTGTCCTGCTCACTTGTAATCTTTGTAACCCTTAGACAGGCAAGTATGGCTGATCTTGAGTTTCAGGTGGAAAGAGGAAATGGGACTCAGCCCTCACTGTGACTCCACATTGGACCAGGCCTGCTAAAGCCACACTGTTTTTGACCATGATAGATTATGATTTAGGGTAGGAGAGACTGAGGAATTTGTTTGCTTACTTTTCTATCCTAATTTAATTCCTACATGTCTCCATTTCTTCCCTACTTCCAAATGTGTGATCAACCCCTCCCATCCCTACCTTGATTAAAATAACCCAGTCTATTCCCTAACTTCCAATTCCGTAACTATTTTTTCCAATTAAAAACAGAGAAAAAAGATTAATTAATTGAGGAAGGAGGGAATGCTACTTAGATTAGACATAATGGCATTTAAAAAAATGCTTGTGTTTAATTATTCAAAAAGTATTTGTTATGCATCGTATAGTTAATGCTAAACCAGCCTTGGGAGGAACAGCTATGAAGCTTGGTTTCTGCCCTCCATCTTCATGCTGCTCACGATTCAGTGGAGACGATGGTTAAGGTCAAGGACAAGTACAAAATAGGGTGGAAAGATTGACAGCCCAGAATCATGGACAAAGTGTCATGGAAGTAAAGATGAGGAGTCTTTAAGGGAAAGTTTAGTAAAGATTTTGTACAGGACATAATATTGGGATGAATTTTGAAGGATAAGTAGGAGTTTTCCAGAGAAACAAAGAAATAGGGTTTAGATTAGAGGGCATTAGGGATAAGAGTGAGAGCAGAGCTTAGAAGAATAAACACGTTGGGCTAGTCATCAGTTAGACTGGTAAAAAAATTGAGGAAACTTAAGGGGGGATCAGACAACTTTAATCATAGAAGTGATTTTTTCAGAAGTAAATTTATCATAGTTGCATATGGTCGCACAAAACCAGAAAATTGATATTTATGTACTTTAAATGGTTATTTATTCTTAAGAGCAATGCTGTTGTAATTTATTCAATTACTTTCCTCTTACCGGACAAGTGGTTTACTTTTTATGTTCCATGGTCTCCAAAGAGGACCATGCTCTAAAGTCTTAGAACCTGTGAGTGTAAGTGACTTGACGAATGCAAAGCACTCACCAACTGACATGGAGACGGAGAGAGTTATTTTGGGTTACCCAGGTGGGCCCAGAGTCATCATAAAGGGCCTTGTATGTGGAAGAACAAGGCAGAAGACAGAACCAAGGAGATGGCATCAGGAGAAGGACTCTGTCACTGGGCAAAACAGATGCTCTCACCCCACATGGGTGGCAAGGATTCAACCACCTGAACCATCACCTGTCTGTCAAGAAGCTGCAGTTGGAAATGGAGCAAGGACTCAAAACTCAAGCTCCACAATATGGATGGTGGTTTTCCTAGGTGGCAGTTGACTACTAGGCTAAATGACCATCCCAGGAATGTGTTTTTAATTTATTTTTCAGTTTGTGGAAATACACATTGAAGTTACTTCATAAAAAGTGTAACAGTTAACCCCAGTGTGAGATCTCTGTTTTTGTTTTTTTTTTAAGCTTGGCTTTCTGCTATTCCCAAAGTTCCATGTGCATATCCAGCTGCTTACCACATGTCTCAATCTGGAGGTCCCTGTGGTTGTTTCTAACTCCAAATGCCCATACAGAACCCTGTCCTGCAAAACCTAGTCCTTCCTGAGTCTTCTCCCTTTTCTCTAAGTCATTCCCAGCACCACCCTCTCCCCAACCCCATATCCAGACAGCTGCCAGAGTCTGTCTCCTAGGTTACCAACATGAGGGCGCTCCAACAGTTTGACAATGGCTCGAACAGCCTAGAGCTCCAGAGGTAGTAAAGGAACATCTGTACGGGTGATTTAGAGACATGGAAGGTAAAAATAAAAGGCTTGCAAGAGAATCTCAGGCTCCAGCTTGGTAAGTTCTAGCACTGGTGGCTACTTTGGCCAGGAAGTCCAGGCTCTCAGTAGCAGGGAAGCCACAAGTGGGTGCAGTACATTCCAACCTGCTGAGAATGTGCTGGTGAAGAAAGATAGGAGATGAGAAGGCATTATCCAGGGTAGGAGTTGTGGAAGGTGACAGGCTGCAGGCAGAACTCGGGCTCAAGGGCAGAATAGGCCTGATTACATTTCAGATAGAAAAAGACTGGGCAGCTACTATTTCCAAGGCATAGTATCCTAAGCCTCCATCTGCAGTGCCAGCATCCCATAATGGGCACCGGTTCAAGTCCACGCTGATCCATTTCCAATCCAGTTCCTTGCACCTGAGGAAGCAGCAAAAGATGGCTCAAGCCTTCAGGTCCATGCACCCACCTAGGAGACTCAGAAGAAGCTCCTGACTCCTAGCTTTGGACCAGTTCAGCTCCGGCCATTGCAGCCAATTGGAGAGTGAACCAATGGATGTAAGATCTTTCTATCTCTTCTTCTCACTCCATAACTTTCCAATTATAATAAGTAAATCTATAAAAAAAGAAAAGAAAAAAAAAAAAAGAAAGACTGAGGTACTCCATCCAATCCATGACCTACAGAAGATGCAAGAGTTGAAACCTGCAGGGTGAGCAGGGCTGGTCGGTCACGCAGAGCCTGGCCCAGGCTAGAAGAACACGCAGTGCCCTGCTTAATGTCTGGCTGTTGAGTGCATTGAGGTGTGACCACCTCGGCTGAGACCTTGACCTTTGCTCTTTCTGCCTTTGCATCTATTTTGTCAGCTCAGGGCTCACACTGGTACTTGTCAACCCAGCCATGGGCAAACCTGGCATGTGGATGGCCTTGGACAAACTGGAAATTCAAGTTCTAGAACAGTTGAAGCAACAGTGGAGAGGCCATTCGCCATGTCGTTGTTTTTTTCTTCCTTCTTCTCAGTTTACACCTTTGAAACAGGACTTGCTGGTAAAGCTGCTTGAGCTGTCAGTCCACCTACACCTCTACAACCTTAAACACGTAAAATCCCGTGACGAAACCTGCCTTGCCTTTATGTGCGTGTACCTCTCTCTACTCAGCCAAGTTGCCTCCCTGCATCTCACAGGGCTCAGGCAGGACAATTCCAGGAAGGTTTACTGAAGGATTTCCTACAAAGGCCCGGGGCAGGCTGTAGTGGAACACGAGGAGCGGTAGAGCATTGCAGGGCTGGCAAGCAGGGCTGCTGCCACTGACAGTGCTTGGCTGCCCAAGGGCAGGGGCACAGAGGTGCAACCACGACCTGAGTAAATGCAGCTATGGGAAGAGGCGGGAGATACACATCCCCACCCCGCCTTCCTTCCCTGCAGTCTCCTCTCTGGGCTCTGTTGGCCAAGCTCAATGGCCACACGCACTTGTTGATATGGCCGGTGTACCCAGGACAGAGGGCGCAGTGTCACTCTGCAGGAGCAAAGAGGAGACACTGAGCAAATTCTTTCCCTCCTTGCCTTCACTCTGTGCGAAAACTTCTTCCCCACCCGACTGAAAGTGTTCATGCCACAGTCACCTTGGATTTCATCATCACCACATCCATGGAATGACTCTGACACCCATTGATGGTTTTCGTTGTGGCTGACCACTCGTTCTTCCTTCCAGAAACTCTTATCTCTTATCTCCCGTGTCCCCACCTGCTGTCCCCTAAGTGCCGCATGCCCAGAATTCCCAGCTGGCTCCGATTTCCTCCTCTTTTGGGATTGAGGTCCCTCAGTGTTCCAGCCTTGGCTTTCCTTCTCCATGGATGCACTTTATTACCAAGTGCATCCTGATAATTCTTAAAAGACAAAACAAAGAAGCTTCATTTTCATTGGAAAGGCAGATTAGCAAAGAGAAGCAGAGACTGAGAGAAAGATCTTCCATCTGCTGGTTCACTCCCCAAGTAGCCACAATGGCCAGAGCGGAAATGATCTGAAGCCAGGAGCCAGGAGTTTCTTCCAGGTCTCCCACATGGATGCAGGGGCCCAAGCACTTGGGCAATCCTCTGCTTGCTTTTCCAGGCACGTTAGCAGGGAGCTGGATCAGAAGTGGAGCAGCTGGAACACAGGTGCTTCGGGTAGAGGATTAGCCTCTTGAACCACAATGCCTCCCCTCCTCCGTGGTTTTTATTATCAAATACGTGTGGATGGTTCTTATACCCATTTTCCCAGTCTTGATCTCTTCCTAGCTCCAAATCCAACACAATTTTCATGTCAGTTGAGTGACTCTACTTGAATATCTCACAGGCATTTAAACTCAACAAGTCCCAAAAGAAGTTCATTATTTATATTGCCACCCAGAACTATCCCGTCTCCTGGGTCTCCTGTATCATTTAGTTTAGCTGTCATTAACGTCATCACCCTGGCTAGACATTAAGCAGTCATTCTGGATGCATATCCAACCCAACAGCAAACTGATGGCTATGGATTCTGTCTGCTTTGCAAGCTTTAGACTCTGCCCTGATGCTGCCTTTGTTTGCGTATGTATCATGCTTGCCTGAACTGTTGGAATATTACCTCCACCAGGACTCCAGGTTGGGTTTCTTCCTCTCAAATTCATCATTCTCACCACTGCCGAACTTAACCTTATGACTCCTCCACTTAAAGCCCTTCAATGCTGGGCCTGGTGCAGTGGCCTAGCAGCTAAAGTCCTCGCCTTGCACATGCCAGGATCCCATATGGGCACCGATTCTAATACCGGCAGCTCCACTTCCCATTCAGCTCCCTGCTTGTGGCCTGGGAAAGCAGTGAAGGATGGCCCAAAGTCTTGGGACCCTGCACCCGCATGGGAGACCTGGAAAGAAGTTCCTGGCTCCTGGTTTCGGATCAGCACAGCACCAGCTGTTGCACTCACTTGGGGAGTGACTTTTTGGACGGAAGATCTTCCTCTCTGTATATCTGACTTTGTAATAAAAATAAATGAATCTTGGGCACGGCATGATGGTGCAGTGGTTAAGGTCCTCACCTTGCACGCCCCGGGATCCCATATGGGTGCCGGTTCTTATCCCAGCGGCCCCGCTTCCCATCCAGCTCCCTGCCTGTGGCCCGGGAAAGCAGTCGAGGATGGCCCAAGGCTTTGGGACCCTGCACCCGCGTGGGAAACCCAGAAGAGGCTCCTGGCTTCAGATCGGCATAGCATCGGCCATTGTGCTCACTTGGGGAGTGAATCATCAGACGGAAGATCTTCCTCTCTGTCTCTCCTCTCTGTATATCCGCCTTTCCAATAAAAATAAAATAAATCTTTAAAAAAATAATAAAAATAAATGAATTTTTTAAAAAAAAGAAAAAACCTTTTCAATGCCAAGCTAAAATGCTTAAAGGACACAGTCCTATTTCCTTAATATGCTATAACTGAAGTTAAAACTCTGCGTGTGTTGCCTTTTTTGATGCTGTGGGAAGTGGTACCTCTTTTTCACCCCGCAAGTGTAAGTGAGCTTCTTGGTGTAGACAGTCACCGCTCCTGTGTCCTCCAGGTAAAGTAATCGGATCTCTTCTGCGGGGAGGATACGCGATCCCCCGCAGCACAGGGAGGGTGGTACGGGAGGGAGAACTCTGAGTGTTCACTTAAAGGGGAATCAGAGCTGGCTTCTAAGGCTGAGCCAGAACACGTACCTGGGAACGTGGAGTCTTGAAGTGCAAATGGAAAAACGAGCACCAAATGCCCACCCCCAGGAAACACACACAAAGGGGCCTACCGGGTTCTTCCCTAGCTTGGGAGACCTGGCGGTGGGAGTCGCATCTGATCTTTACATGTGGGACATTGTCCAAGGAATGCCGTAACCAAGGGGACGTAAGACAACAGAAATCGCCTCCTGTTCTGGAGGCCCCACGCCAGAATGCAGTTGTGGGCAGAACCCCTGGGGGTTCTGGGAGGGAGGCCCTGGCTTTTGCAGCTTGGGGGGGGAGTTTCCACGGATCTCGTCATTCCTTGTTTTCCAGCTCACGTTCTGATTTCCTCCTCTGTCTTCTACCTGATGGTTTTCCTCAGTGCCCCATATTGTCTCCCAAAAGAACACCACGCCGCGGATTTAGGGCCTAACTTAATACAGTGTGACCTCACTTGAACACTAAGACCCTATTTCTGGGCCTGGTGCAATAGCGTAGTGGTTAAAGTCCTCATCTTGCACGTATCGGGATCCCATATGGGTGTCGGTTCTAATCCCAGCAGCCCTGCTTCCCATCTAGCTCCCTGCTTGTGGCCTGGGAAAGCAGTCAAGGACAGCCCAAAGTCTTGGGACCCTGCACCGGTGTGGGAGACCCGGAAGAGCTCCTCACTCCTGGCTTCGAATTGGTTCCGTTCCAGCCATTGTGGTCACTTGGGGTGTGAACCATCGGACGGAAGATCTTCCTCTCTGTCTCTCCTCCTCTCTGCATATCCGCCTTTCTAATAAAAATAAATAAATCTTGTTTTAAAAGACCCTATTTCTAAATAAGACAACCTTTACAAGTATTCGCAATGGGGCTTGAACTTAGAGTTTCGGGGCGAGGGGAACACAATTCAATTTGATACAGCGGCATAACGGGGCAGCGAGTTAAAGTTTAGGTGAGCTACAAGGCTTGTTGTGTTACTGCCTCTTTAACTGTC